GGTCGAAGACCATCTTTTGAAAGATTATCGGGTGGGACCGCAACAAAAGATTCAAATGACTTTCGATAATTTAGGATTGGTCGAGCTCTCTCGTTCTATGTCCAGATTTTTTCGGACTAGGACTAGATGACCCTTAAACTTTGTTCACAATATATTTGAATTGGGCACATAGTCCAATTAATTTTTGAGCTCGGCCTATCACGAATCTCACCTTATTTTGTTGGTATTCACGTATATTTATGTTAGTTTTTAAGTATTTGTTATGTTTGGGTCTCGGTGTGTTCGGATAATTTTTTCAAATTGGGATGTTTAGATCAGATTACGATCCAAATGATTTACGATAAATTATGATCGGTTCAGATTTTTCCGATTTCTATTCGGTTAACAATTTTTTTTTTTTTGAAAAACCTAAAGTGTAACCGAAACATAGAAAAGTTCGGTTACATGACCAAAATTTTGGTCTAAATTAGGTGATTAAACACGATTAGACCCCAAACTGGATCCGTATTACCCGATCCGAATTATTTGAATTACCAACTCTGGCTGGATTTCAAAAATTTCGGACCGCTTCAGATCCCATTGCTTGAATTCGGATTATATTCTCAGGCTTAGTTTTTGTGTTGTTTGGACGTGTTTGCGGTCTGTGTTTTGACGTTTTAGCGTTTGCGTTGTGTTTGGACGTGTTTGCGGTTTGTGTTTGGACGTTTTTGAGTTTGTGTTGTGTTTGCATTTGTGTTTTATTTCTGTTCACGTTCATGTTATGTTGGCACTCACATGTGTTTGCGTTTATTTGTTTTTGGACGTGTTTGTCTTTATTTTTGCGTACGTGTTTTTGCGTTTGTTTGTGTTTGGCCGTGCTTGCGTTTGGACGTGCTTGCGTTTGGACGTGTTTGCATTTGTGTTTGCGTTTGTGTTTTGTGTGCCTTTATTTTTGCGTTTGTGTTTGGATTTGCGTTAGCCTTTGAACGTGTTTTTGTTTGGACGTGGTTGTGTTTGTGTTTTTTTTTTTGGTTAGATGGTTTTTTTTTTTTTTGGTTAGATGGTTGTGTTTGTGTTTGCATTTGCGTATGTGTATTTTGCACATTTAGTTTTTGTTTCTGTTTACGTTTACCCTCTGTGTTCACGTTCATGTTTTTGTTGGCATCACGTGTGTGTTTGTGTTTGTGTTTGTGTTTGTGTTTGTGTTTGTGTTTGCGTTTAGTGTGTTTGCGTTCATGATTAATATTTGCTTTGATGAGTTAATAGTAGTTCAATTGAAGTTTTAACGTTAGTCTTAACCAAACGATCTTTGGACGAACTCATTGCTACTAAAATTAAAATTGTTATAATAAATTGGTTTAAATAAGAACACACTGACCTGATTAAAACGGAGGAACCATGTAATCAATCCTCAAAAACTCCATTTCTGCAATAACTTGGTTTCCTGTAATGAATCAAGACAAAGAGAAGTTGGTTTCAGTCATATGTCTTCTCTTCAATGGCCTACCAAAAAACAAACAAGAATATTTTGATGCCAGACCAAAAATAAAACAATCATGAGAATTTCTCACTACAGCTAAATATCTGTACCTCGTGCTCTACGCATTACATTTCTTGTTGGCTTTCTCAAAGCAAGAAACGATTAGTTAGACTAACTCAAACCTAAGACAAACTCATATATGAGTCATGTCATTCCAAAATTCAAATGTAGTACCACTGGAAATCAGAGAACCAATGTAAAGACAAGGACGTACCTGAACCTGAGAAACCAAAGCTTTTTTCTTCCTCGCCAATAGTGTTGAAGAGAACACCAAACTTGTTCAGCTTATCCTGTTATGAAAACCAAAAGCCACCACAGAAACTAAACTTTTCCTATAAAGAGTATAGAGAGTTATGAAATCAAAGAAGCAATGTAAAGAGAAGGACGTACCTGAGAAACCATAGCTTTTATTATCCTTATAAGTTAAAGATGTGTCTGAAGAAAATACTTGCTCGCCAACAGTGTTGAAGAGAACACCAAACTTGTTCACCTTATCCTGTTATGAAAACAAAAGGTCACCACATAAACTAAACTTTTCGTATAAAGAGTATAGAGAGCACTCTCACACAACTCCTACTATGATAATTCAAACGAACCCCATAACATAATACTATTGAAAAAGCAAAGGGGGTCAAACCTGAGACACAAATCTAAAAGGACAAGCTAACTAATAACTCATTGCAAAACAGTTATCAGTCTTTACCTGGTCAAAAGAAAGATTCAGCCAAGGAATGACAAACTATATAAAAGGATGTTCTTGTGAAAATCATAACTTAGTTTAGGGAAGGATAGTGTACCTGATCAAATCGGATGAGAATATGAACCGTAAACTGATTTCCTGCAGAAACTCAATTCCCCTGTTAAGAATAAGTCAACAGAAAATGTGATTAGTACATATTACAATAAGTCCGAGACTTGTTTAGTTCTTCACTTACCTAACTTTTGCTAGAAATATGAACAAAAGAGAAATAAACTTACCTTCGGTTTCAGAAAAATGAACTTACCAGTGTGTTAGGCATTGTAGTCATACGGGACAATTTCTCCATTAGACAAGCCTTCTAGAAAGACATTTCTCCTCCATCAATATGAGCAGATCATTGAGTATATTACTATATCATATGCTGTCCAGGCTCAGCGAGACATAGAGTTTCAGCAGATCATTAGTCAATTTCCCAATATATCATTAGACATGCCTTCTTAAGAAGCCGTTTCCCCTCCATAAATATGTGCAGATCATTGAATATATTACTATATCATATGCTGTCCAGGCTCAGCTAGACATAGATTTCAGCAGATCATTGCACACCCAATATATCATTTAGACAAGCCTCCTTAACAATCTGTTTCTCCTCCAATCAATATGCAGATCATTGAGCATTAGCATTTTATCTTTCAGCAGAAAACTGAATCTTTTTCCCCTCCTCCATCCCATGCAGAACATTGAATATTATTACATTATGCTGTCCCAGCTCAGCTACATATAGAGTTTCATTGAATTTTGCCAATCTCTGTAACACCATCATTAGACAAAGGCCTCCTTAACAATCCGTTTCTCCTCTAGTCAATATGCAGATCATTGAACATTAGCATTTTATCTTTCAGCAGATAATTGAATTTTTTTCCCTCCTCCATCCCATGCAGAACATTGAATATTATTACATCATGCTGTCCCAGCTCAGCTACATATAGAGTTTAAGTTCTTATACTTAGGCAGAAAATTAGATTTTGCCAATCTCTGTAACACCATCATTAGACAACTCTCCTTAAAAAGACATTTCTCCTCCAATCAATCAATAAGCAGATTATATCTTATGCTGTCCCAGCTCAGCTTTTAGCAGATCATTGAACATTGAAATATATTTCTCTTCTAATCAATATGCAGATCATTGAACATTATCATTCTTATCTTTAAGCAGATTATTGAATCCATTTCTCCATTCATTAGACAAAGCCTTAATAAAGGACTATTCATTTTTTTCCTCCAACAAAATATGCAGAACATTGAATACCATATGCTGTCCCAGCTCAGCTAGATATAGAATTCTCAGCAGACAACTTGAATTACCTTAAACACAAGTCTTAGAGGCATATGTATGCAAGATATATAATGAAGTTTTATCTGAACATGCTTACCAAGTTTGATCCAAGATATTGAATTCATAATCTTGGATACATATTTGACAAGTCTTACTTGATTTAGACACCACTTCAAGATATATCTTTGTCTGCTTGTGTTAGGCAACATTGTAAACGATACGGGACAGTTTCCCCAAGTTAGAAACCGGACATACAACAATCAGATGTATTAATGTCCCTTTCTTTTGGGTTTTCAACAAGTCTTACATACGTGAGATATATAATGAAGATTTATCTGGTCATGCTTGCCAATTTTGATCTAAGATACCAAATTCATGAATCTTGGTTACATAACTTGACAAGTCTTACTTGATTTAGAGACCACTTCAAGATATATCTCTTTGTCTGCTTGTGTTATATCGGACAATTTCCCCAAGTTAGAAACCGGACATACAACACGCACATATGTTGATGTCCCTTTCTTTTGGGTTTTCAATAATATCAAAAGACAAGTCTTACATACGTGAGATGTATAATGAAGTTTTATCTGGTCATGCTTGCCAAGTTTGATCCAAGATATTGAATTCATGAATCTTGGATACAAACTTGACAAGTCTTACTTGATTTAGAGACCACTTCAAGATATATCTCTTTGTCTGCTTGTGTTATATAGGACAATTTTTACCCAACTTAGAAACCGGACATACAACAATCACATGTGTTAATGTCCCTTTCTTTTGGGTTTTCAATAAAATCAAAAGACAAGTCTTACGTACGTGATATATATAATGAAGTTTTATCTGGTCATGCTTGCCAAGTTTGATCCCAGATACTGAATTCATGAATCTTGGATACAAACTTGACAAGTCTTAATTGATTCATAGACAACTTCAAGATATATCTCTTTATCTGCTTGTGTTATATAGGACAATTTCCCACAAGTTAGAAACCAGACATAGAACAATCACATATGTTGATGTCCCTTTCTTTTGGGTTTTCAATAAAATCAAAAGACAAGTCTTACATACGTGATATACATTGAAGTTTTATCTGATCATGCTTGTTTAAGTTTGATTCAAGATATTGAATTCATTAATCTTGGATACATAACTAGACAAGGCTTACTTGATTCAGAGACCACTTCAAGATAGATCTTTGTCTGCTTGTGTTAGACATTGTAGATGATAAAGAACAGTTTCCCCAAGTTAGAAACCAGACATTCAACAATCGTATATGTTGCCGTCCCTTTCTTTTAGGGTTTTAATCAAAATTAAAAACTTTCAAACAAATAATTAAAGTTTTTAAAGAAATACCTCAGTGATGGTGTGGGCATAGCGTCAATCATCGACAGAGTTAGATAGAAACCCTAAGACAAAAAAAGAGAGGTTTTTAATCGCAATTACAAATTATTATAAAAAGGAGATTTTGAAAAAAAGAATCGAAAAACAGAGTCATGCATTCAAAGATTAATCGCAATTACGAATTTTAAAAGAGGGGAACTTGAATCTAAGATCGATAGATAATGATTTTGATTTAAAACCAAAATCTAAAACAGCAACAAACCCTAATCGAAATTTCAAAAGAGGAGATTTTGAATCTAAGAATCGCAAAATTCTTTGTTTTCTTTAAATAGGATTTTTGAATCTGAACAATATAAGTTCTAAACCCAAGAAAAACACAAAAGAAAGTTAAATCCTTACAAAATCAATGAAAACAAAAATCTCAAAAAGAGGGGTTTTCGTAACATTAAACAAACGTATGTGCACCTTACGATGATGATGATGATAGCCTTTACCAAAACTCCGATGATGATAGCCTTCGATAACAAAACTCTGAAGCGCTCCAACGAAACAAGAAAAAACGAGAGCGAAAAAGGAAAAAAAACTCAAAAAAGTATAAATTAATGAGAAAACCATCTGCAACAATATATAAAGGGACGATACTTAGTGACCGTTGTGAAGATAAATTATTGGGCCTCACTAAACCCTATAGGGCTTAAACCGACTTACTTGATATGTTCTTTTTTTTTTGTCAGCAAACAAACTAAAAAGTTGATATGCTTCTTTTTTTAACGAAAAAACTAGGTTCGGACCCGCGCTACAGCGCGGGGGAAATATTTATATATATATATATAACCTTTAACGTATTAAAATATGTTACATTTTAAATAAAATAATAAAGAAAAAAGTGAGTAAATAATTATATATTGAGTTTTGATACAATTAAAAACACGGTGAAAATTTAACAGCACGAAATAATATTTGTCGATAAAATATTCATTTTGACTATTTTGTATTAGAAGTAGGAATATATGTAAAATTACATATTTACAATAATTTTTTTGAAGGACCAACCCGTAAAAGAATTCATTTTGTAAAAAAAATATTCATAATTCGCTTTATCATTATAATTGTGATTTAACAAACTACCCGTGAACAATATAAATTTTAAATAGTTTGATATATAATATATTTTATCAATTAAAATTATGTCTCCAAAATTACATTTATTTCTTAAAAAAAATTCCATATTATAAATTCTAAAGTTTATATATATTTGAACCTCTTAATCATAATATTTTGAAACTTTTAAAAAATTTATATGCTCATGTAACAATGGTTTTAATATTGGTCATACTTATAATGATTTTAAACCATTGTCCAAAATATTTAACCGAGTGTAGTTGAGTATTATATATCCGTTTCAAAAAATTCAAATTGCAGTATATGCAAAAAAAGTTAAATTATTATTAAATATTTATATTATATAGTATAATATCATAAATTAAAAATAAGATCAAATAAAAGTAAAAGAAGAATAATAATTATTTTAATAGATTATATTAAATTAGTTAGAGAAATATTTGGAAATCCTCTAATTAGTTATGGAAATAATATAATCCTAAAATTAGATATAGAAAGTATCCGATGTATGTATCCAAACCCAATTTAATATCCACTTTTGAAGTATCCAATTGTTGAAATCGGGTTAACTTTTTTATTTTGACCCGACCCGTATTCTATATTGTACTTCTCTTTTACTAATATAGAGATAACATTTTTGAAAAAAATGAATTACAAGTATACCCGTTTTTAAAATTAATGGAAAAAAAAAATGTTATCGACTTTAGTTATGATCATGTTTATTATTTGTGCGTTTTATTATATAACTTTTATTTAGTTATATATTGGCTCATGAACTATCTTTCTTCAAAGTGAATATTATTAACCAAAATTACATTATTATGATCCAAATGCAATATTGATTAACATGACGAATACCAGAATGGAGAGCTGATAGAAGTACACACCAACAACAATATTTAGCATCCATCTCAATATCTCATACTCTAAATCTTTTTGGTTGAAAAAAAAAACCCAAGTTTATAATGGACATAATAATAACAAAAGACCAAAAGGGTTTATCAACCACAACAACAGCTTCTACCAAAACATGGGTTCATTGATTCCAATGAGAGTGACTTATATTCTCCTTAATCCTTCTTCTTGTTCAGAGCTCCTCTTGGAATCTTGCTCAACACTTTACTCAAAACCTTCTCATCGAGTACTGCGTATTGCTTCTTGATCTCCTTCATCGCTTTCTCCCCAAAGGCATCTACTTTGTCCTCATACTTTTCGTAAATCACAGGAATGGTGAAGAGAAGTACAGTAGCTGGAAGCAAAAAAAAACAACAACAAAGCAAAGGCTAAGTATCAAGCTATGCAAGTGTGGTTACTGTTAGGTTGAAAGCAATAAGATGCATATGAATCATTACCAATATAGAACAATGTCAGGAAGTTGCAGCAACTACCAAGAATGGATAATATCCACAAGCCAGCAATTACCTAAAAGATGTACCAGCAAGTGTTAGCATTTAAAAGGATCGATGAGAAAAGGAAAAGAAACAGTTTTGCATTAAGGTAGATAACATGAAAGATACCAAGATAAATTTCTTGAGATCTCTTCCTGATGCAATGTTCCTAAGAACGGTAAAGCCGCGATTGATTTCAATCCTTAATCCAGAAACAAGTTGAAGAACAGGATCCTCGGGGATGTGAACTTCTGGGATGTGAGGAGTTGCCCTGAGAATGTATAATCAGTTAAATTAAGCAGTTGATGCTTCGTTATCGCATACTCAAACACGTAAAGGATGTTTCAAAATCTTACTTGTGGATGAAGGTACAAGCATTAGACCACAAGAACAATGCTGCAAGAGCAGCCATCGCAAAGTGACAGAGAAAAGTGAGGAAATGGTATTCGATTAACTCGAATAATACCCAAGACGCAGTTATAGCACCAAAGACTCCACCAGATACCTTCTTGTTCCTCCAAAGGAATATATCAGCAGCTACATGCAAACAATGAATCCAGATTAAGCAAAGTTTCTGAGTCCTTTCAACAGTTTCAGCATATGTTCAACCAAAGCAGACAACTAAGTACAAGAATTACAAATACACACTCAAATTCAGTTTCAAAGAAGAGCAAAATCACTGTGTAAATTGTAAACTACTCTAACGAGAAAAATCACTATATAAGATACCCAATCGAGCAAAATCAATATGTAAACTACTCATTTGAGCAAAACCACTGTGTAAGATACTAAATCGAGCAAAAACAGAGTTCAACTTCAGCTTCAGATAAGAACAAAATCACTATGCAAGCTACTTAATCAAGCAAAATTACCAGTTAACTACTCAATCGAGCTAAATCGCAGTATATCATACTAAATCGAGCTAAATCGCTATCTTAACTGCTAAATCGAGCAAAATCACAATGTCAACTACTCAATCGAGCAAAATCACTATATAAAATACTAAACCTAGCAAAAACAGAGTTCAATTCGAAGATATAGAGATAGATCCATACGTTTTCCACCACCGAGAACCTTATGAACAGGTTTCTCCCTTCCGAAAAGTCGGTAAATCTTTGACTTGAAGGACGAGGACGAAGACGATGTAGATTTCTTATCGTCGTCGGAATCGGACAGAGAAGAAGAGTCACCATTGCCATGGATCTTCTCAACAATCTTCTCCAAGATCGATTCCTCGTGCTTGTGGTCTTCCACCATTGTTGTTGATTCTAGAAACCTCTGAGCAAAGAGGAAAAAAAAACCCTAACTCGTTTACTTGTTTGAAGAATCGAAAAGTGTGTCTGTGTGTGAGAGGACAGTGACAAATAAGATCGCGTACGTCAGATTCAATCTCATCCGTTTATTTAATAAACTCAATCTAGTCCGTTGGTTGGATTCGGATCCGGGCCTAGAGTAGGTGGACCGTCCACGGTGGAAACTCAAATTATTTATTTTGTAATCATGTAACATCTTTGGCGTGTGTAACTAACGGTCGTTAGTTAATGTAAATATTTCCGATAACGTCACCGTTAGTAGATCGTTAAATGTCGGCGGATAGGATCCATTTGTATTGGGCTCATTAACAGGATTGTTTTTATTTAGGCCTTTTTGCATACTATGATAGTAAGATATGGCCCTGTGCATAACAACCAGAACCGAAAAACTGAACCGGAACCGACCCGAAAATAACCCGTTCGGTTCGGATTCGGTTATTGCCTACCCATAATTGACCGGACCCAAATATCCATATGCCCAGAGCTAGTATGATAGATTGATAGTATATAAAGTATAAAGTATAAACCATTATTTTATAATTTATAATACTCCCATTTTTTTATAACTTTTTAGGCTTTTTCTTTCCATTTATTAGATTTTTTCAAAATTTATGTACAATTTATATTAACTTCAATAGTTTATAAGTATTTGAATTTGAATTGTTTATTACTAATATGTTCTCATGTTTAGCCTACGAATGGGAACAATATAGAGTTAGGCAGAAATGAGAAAATATACGATGTGGACGGAGTAATAATACTCATCCACGAATCATAATACTATCAATCTATCATTATCGTGCATCTTTCAAAGGTTTCTAGTCGCAACTACAAACCATATTAGTCTATAAACAATAACTACAAAATCTAAGAAATATAGTCAGAGGAGTATATCAACGTTTTCTCATAATGTATATAAGCAAACAGCGACGAAAATGTTTCTAGATTATCATACATCCATACTTCATGCACACTTGTTGATAACTCAAAATTACAAGGTCGTATCAGTATTATATATGGACATCTCAAAGCCTAACCAAGAAATTGTGTTTTGGAGATAACCAGAGTCGAGGAATTTGAAAGATCCGAAAGATAAGAAGAGAGACAAGTCGGAGAGTAACGCACGCACGTGGGGTTGAATTCAGTATTGGTCATCACTTTGGTCTCTCTTGGCCTCGAGAGCTCAGCCTAAAACTTCTCTCGTGTGGAAAGTGCTGAGTCATTACACGTGTGCTCCACTGTGTGTCTACATCATCACTACTCTTGAAATGAAAAATATTTTATGGAGTAAAATCGCAAACCCGAAGAAGATCAACAAAATCAGGTTTGATAATGAAAGCTCACTTATTTTTTCATGTACTTTTTCCATATGATTATTCAGAATAAAGTATTTTGAAATATTCATACAAGTCTATTACTAACATTGCTGGATGAAAAATCCAACTACTATTTTTATTTAGTTAATTAACAATTTCTTTTGTTTTCCAATTTTCAATAATTAATAATTACTATTATATTTTACAATTTTATATATCCAAATCGTGTGGAAGAGAATTATCTTTCACACCTAACCAAACATTTAGGAAGAAAAAGAGAGATTTGTTTTTGTCTTTTTTATTCAAAAAAATATAAGAGAGATTCGAAGACAAGAAAAAAGATAAGAGATTCTTGGAAGACATAAAAAAATCTGTTATCGTGGCCTCGTGGGTCGTGGGTCTAAGAAGAATTACGTGGCTTAATTTGGGACCTTTGCATAATCTTAAAGTTCTTACCTAATACTACATAAATTGATTTTTATTACTTTTGTCAAATTATTTGTTTATCTAGTCAAAAAAAGTTATGAGCTATCAATATCGATCCAGAAAGCCATGCGTGCCAAAACCATCATTACCCAATCAGTGTTAGCCACACATGCCTTTCGAGTTTCGACAAAAGAGTTCATATGACTATGTGAGAATAACACCATATCGAGAAAATATGTAAAAACCCCTTCCCTTTGCAAGTCGCAATAAAGAAGACAAAAATCCAATGAGTTATATAATAATAATAAGACAATGATATAATATAACAAAGCTAATATCTTTCCACACACACAGATATATTAGTTTCTATATATATATCTCTCTCATATGTATACCTAACCTTACCATAATTGTGTTGAGATTAGTTAGATCCATAAAACTCTCTTAAAATAGTAAACCAAGAAACGCAAAAGAATGATGATGTTCCCTTTCTTGAAGCATCGGTCGAGGTCAGTCCACGGTGAAGATGCGCCGTCGTCTCCGGAGTCCAGAGTCGTCGTCTCCGAAGCAGAGACTGGAGGCGCGTGTACTACGCTCACGGTGTGGAGAAAATCGCTTTTGGTGACTTGCGAAGGGTTCACGGTGATAGATTCAAACGGAGATCTGATATACCGGGTCGATAATTATGCCCGAACCAGACCAGAAGAAATCATCCTCATGGATAAAGATGGAAACTCTCTCCTCCTCATGCACCGTACCAAGGTAATAACATATATCTACTACATTAGTTACAATATAAACTTATATGAATGTGTTTTAGATAATTATATGAATTGTGCTACCACATCCATCCTTCAACCTTATAAAATCGCATTATATTAGATTGTTAAGAATCGACAATCTAGTTGTGGGTTTTGTGAATTATTAGTTGTTGAATATATTAGTTAACTTGTAGTTAGTTTTAAATTACTAGACGTTGGAAGAACAAAACAAAAGATGGAGCACTAACAAAATGATTTATACGAGTTGTGAGATTTTGTTGGAACTTTATATACACCCTTTGAAACTTGAATCTTTGATTAATACAAGAATGAGGTAGAAATATTTTTAAGATTGTTGGAATTTTTCATCGTCCGTACTCTTTACCGATCACTCTAGCAAGTTTTATAACTATTTTTAGGTTGCTTATACTATTTTCAGAATTGTGATAATTTTGTAAATCGATGAATGTATAGAAGTTAATTTTTGCTGATAGATAATTTAGCCGATTTCGTAGAAGGCTTTCTTGTATTTAGCCAATTGAAGATATGCATGAAAGAAGATATTATGAATTCTATATAGCATAAATTAAGATTGAGTAGGACCAACTACACCACCATGACACCGTCCACAATAGGTCACGTCAAAAACACACAAGTATTCTGCATGTGGACAATTGTATTGGCAAGAATTTCGTATAACCCGTCATACTCAATTGGGAAACTTTTTTTTTATATATATATTTACAAGAAACTTCATTCATCAGCATAAAAGTTTTGACTATAAAAGTATAATAATCATAAATTTTCATATAACAACAACGACGACGTCTAGAAATCTCCGAGTATTATATGTTTGACTCACGTGACTACATCGTTGATCTAGATATACACTTACTCAATGCAACATTATAGACAATCACTAGTTTGAGATAATGTATTAAACTGATAGTTTCCTTTGTATTGTCCAGAAAATTACGCTCGTAGATAGTTGGGGAATATATGAAGCAAAGGATACAAATGGGGAAACAAAGATACCAAAGTGTCCAATCTGGTACATGAGGAAGAACTTAAAGATGAACATTCTGAACACCAACAAATCCAATGTTTTGGCATACGTATTCTCAGGATCGTTCGATAAGAAGAATTCTTACATCATCAAAGGATCGTACAAATGTAAATCGTGTAAAATCGTGCACGTCCCAATGAACAAGACAGTGGTGGAGATCAAAAGGAAAGAGGTCAGAACCAAAGGAGTCCGGTTCGGTTCAGATGTTTTTGATCTTGTTGTTAGTCCTGCTTTTGACACCGCTTTGGCAATGGCTTTGGTTTTGTTATTAGACCAAATGTTCTCTTAATAAATACATAAACCATTTTTCTTTCTTGGGGTGTCAATTGTATAGCACTATTTACAATAATATATCAAACTTTTTAGATTGAACAAGTTACCACATCTTTAATACGAGGACTAAACCAACTACTACATGTACAAATCGGACAAGTGTTGTGTGACTATACGAAACTACGAAGTGTCCATCTCAAAGGAGGCAATCCCAACATATTAGAACTTAATGCACACAAACAAAAAAAAAGAAACGTAAAATTAAATATACATCGACATTTATGTCTTTGCAGCATTTATAGAAAGTATTTAGTATAACTTGTCTCGTATGGTTACATCAAAATCCCCTAACGGTTGACATGGAAACATCATCAAAATGACTTTGAACGAATCATCATCATATCGAGTCAGAGATCCAAGACATTTAAAGACCAAATATTTTATCTAATCTAATCTGATCTTCAAGATCACACAGGTTCTTCTCTTCTGTCTTATCAAAAAATTATTTTTTACTTTCTAATACCAAACTATACTAATTTACAAATTGAAACCAAGGGTTTAATATTGATAGCTGAAACTTTGGGGATGTTTTCGAAAAACTTTTAAAGTATAAGGTCACAAAAAGAACGGCAAATTCGAGAATAACACAAAAGTTACATGAGTTTCATAAAAAGAACAAATTAAGACAGAATTAAAGACGATGAAAATATAATTACGCAGACCGATAAAAAAAAAAAAGAGTCCGTTACATGGAAACAGCAAAAAAAAAAAAAAAAAACTAATGTACTTTTTTAGGTTTACGAGAACATCCCGCAGCAGGCCA